GAGGCCACTGCACTCCGTGTAGTATTGTGCTCTCATGCATGAAGTCTTCACCTCGCTATCATGTGTAAGACATATATATGTGTGTATGTGTATGACTGTGAGATGTTTTGAAGTCATCGATAGAGATGAAAATGAACTGTGCTTGACTAGGTGAGTAGGCTAGGGAGCAGCATGAAGAGGCTAAATGTATGACATGGACAGAATAGATGCAAGTTTACGGCAGTATATGAAAGTGGAGCACCTTGGCTGAAAGATGGAGAATAGATGAATTAGGAAAGCATTGTGGTTTCCAGCCCACCTAGGAAAAGTAGAGAGCAGATAATGGCTTTCACCGGGAAACAGTAAGAGGGAGAAACAGACTTGGGGAGGCAGGGGACTTTCAGAGGACAGAGATGTGACCTTTACACTGTGATAGGTAGTTAGGATAAGAGAGGATCAAAGAAGTGCTGCGTATGTATGTACTGTGGGCACATATTAGAGCAAAGGCTGTCTCTGAGTGAATTTAAAGTCTTTACCTAGAGACAAAATTCAACACGTGGTTAAATTGCACCAAATGTGTGGAAAATGGTGACTCTGGAGGTGGAATGTAGTAACAAGAGAGAGATGGATTTTACAAGCTGTGCAGAAGCTTTAATGCAGAGAACTGAGACTGATCCAGGTAATGGAGACATGAGGAAAGTATCTGACAAACACACATTTTCCCCTTTCTGTATGGAAGAAAAAGGAGAGGCATGGAAAGAAGGTCACTTACTTGACTTGATAATATCAAACCTCCTGCAAGGCCTCCAGCAGCCCTCTTGTACACAAACAGGTATATGGGAATGAGGTTTGAAGAAAGAGCAAGTCCTACATTTGGGAGCTGTCTGCTTCATCCCATGTAGATTCACAGAAAACCTCACACAGAACATCACTGTGCTAAATACTTATGCTCAAGTGTTTTCCCACCCTTGTGGGTAGCCCTATGTCCCTGGTCGTTCCCTAGAGATATGCACAAATTGACTTCAAAAACACAGCAGAAGAGGAATGTTGTTACTATCCCTTTATTCAAACCATTTCCCATGGGATTTTCAATGGAAGAAAGCATCTGACTGTGGGAAATTAAACATTGTGAAGCTATGAGCAGAATTTATTATGAGCTAATGCTATCACAGTAGAACAACACCTGAAAATGTCCCCAGGAGTCTTTTAATAATAATTTTTAAATGATTTTTTCTTTGGAAGGTGAACTAATGTACAGTGTCTGTGTATATGTATGTTATTATTAATCTATGAGAATTTAGCAGTAATTATCCACTTAAAAAATCTATCAAGACTAATTGGGTGTATTTTTGTTGGTTTCTACTGCCTATGAAAATGAAGTTCTGCATTTAAAATATTGGTCTATGACTCATGGAAGAGTTTCTTTTTTAATTAAGGAGATATTAAATACTGATCCCCATTTTGCCAATGTGGTCAATGAATATATCACTGCTGGAATATTGCAGTGGTGCTTACCTATTTTTCAGAACACATTCATAATAATGAGCTGAATTTTTCTCTCAACATTAAATTGCTTTTAATGAGAAACTAAATGGGAAATAAATACCATGAAGCCAAAGCTTATGTATTTACTTCTGCATAATGCTGTGCTCTCCAAATCTCTTCTCTTATTAAACCATAGATGATCTTAGTTTGGCTGAAATCTTTATATAAGTTTATGATAAGAGATTACCAGAATGTTACAATTTTTTGAAGAATGGTATCTCCTCATTTTTCATAAATACTAATTAAACAACTCAGGCTTACGTCAGTGCCAAGATTCATGTCAGCAGTTAGTGCAACTTGTTATTGTAAGATTAGTTCTGACACATTCCTTCCAGCACAGCAAGCAGTGGGATCCTGTGCAACACTGGGAAGAATTCATCTCTCAAGAGACTTCCAGTAGTTATCCAATAGGAAGGAAGACTGCTTTCTTTAACAAGATTAAAAACTCTCTGCTGACATACTCCCTAACTGAATCATCTCAAACTGTCTCACCACGCAGAAGGAATGAACGTATCACTCATCACCCAGTCTTCTCCCTTTATGACAGTCTTAGGGCATTTGTATTATAACATCTATACACTGTGCCTGATACATGGTTGTGGGGCTGGTTTAAGGAGCATTCTCTGGTCTGGTCAGGGATCATTCATAACTGTAATAATTGGCAATGATTTCTTGACTACAAGAACACTGAAAGAAGCTTGCTCCTTTGAGCAATTACTTGTTGTGAAAGAGATGCGAGGGAGAGAAATGACCTTATTCTGTTCAGCTGGCATGTACACTGCTGATTCAAAGGCATTCACTGGGCTTTGCTTAAAGGGGTGTTGGTAGTGGTGTCTAAATGTTACTCTTTGAGTTAGCTGAGATATCATTATTTCAGTGCCCAAAAGAAAACTAAGTAGAGAAGACGAATGGAAAAGCTTAAAATACACTTTAAACTAAGCACACATAGTTTCAGAATATACAAGGAGAATTTGGGAAGTAATGCCATCTCATGCACCTTGCAGAATTCATAGCATAATCATTGTCCAATACAGAAATGGTATGGCAGCATGCAAACACTGGTATTTTAAGAGCTGTGTAAAATGTTGTGTCTCCTTAGTAGAACTCATCCTCAAAAGAATTGCTTGAATTGTTCAGATTCACAGGGGTTCTGTTACAATGCCTTTTGGGTACCATTTCATTTTACTGTGAATGCTTGTGAAGTCGTGGAGTATGGTGACAGGGAGATACGGATAGACAATGCTTCAACGCAATACAGAGACCGCTTGCCCAGCAGTGCACTGTGAACCAGTATTCTGTCTTGTTTCACAACATGTTAAGACCCAGATTTTTCAGGACAGGGTAAGCATTTGTACTTCCAGTTGGCATATGCAGTTGCCATGAGTGTGTGCACAACTGTAATAAAATGTAAACTTAAGGGATGGAATACATGTGTAATTCGGGCCTGTGTGCCTAGAGTGAATAGTGCACTCACTCAAAATTGGATTTTAATATTGCAGTTCTGAAAACCAGTCTAGCCTGAAAACTTGGATCCTCACAAGAACTGAGGCATACACAAGCATTACTGCCTATGCTACCCACTTTTCTCTCTTTCAAATTTATTTTTTCCTTAACGAGGTACCATTTATTTTGAAAAGGCACTGGGCATCCACAATCAGAAAGTTGTTAAATAGGTAAGCTTTCTTTATCCTCCTGTTTGCTGCACTGACATGAAGTGAGTATGTGAAGCTTTGCTCTTTTGGGTAGCTAATGATGAGTTTGGAACTCAGTATTATTCTGAAGAAGAAAATTATTATGATACAAAGTGGTCTGACTGATTCAGGAGTTGCATCAGATTATACTATGCTAGAAAGTGCATTTAAACCCTGTAATCTGTAACCAAGTGCTACTTGGAATCAAGTGTATCATTCAGATACTGTCTTGGGCTGTGTGTCTAAATGCATATCGAAAAATAAGCAGTTAAGATCAAATGCCGAGATATGTGTCTTCCAGGTGGTGTGTGTGTGATGCTGTTCCGAACATGCTAGTGCAAGGAGAAGAGGTGTATACACAAGAGATGATAGAACAACTTTTAATTTCTCTCTTTATGATATACTGCACATCAAGTGGGAGAACAAGGCGTCTGTATAGAAAGCAAAGTTGTGAAGTGTGATGGCACTTTTGCTTTGTCACGCATACTGCATAAATGATGGATTACTCCAAGCAGTGTCTTATCTGAAGAACCTAAGCCTGCACAACTGCTAGTAGGCTGGGCAGGTATTGGACTCAGCTAGATGCATGAAAGCCTTGAGTTTTCTAAACATCCCATACTGGAGGGTACTTCTTAGCAACAGCTCATGAAGGGAGCAGAGATACAGTGGTTCTAGGTGGGTGTATCAATCATCATCCTTGTTATCATCCATCCCAAACGGAAGGGTGTTGTGATAATATCTGCTGGTTTTAGATCTGCAAGCATGGAAGAAAGCTATATCACAAACAAGTCCTATTTGTTTTGGGATTTTTTTTGCTGAAAAATGCTGAAAAATGCCTACACTAACTACAACTGCTTTTAGGAAAGATTTCAAATATTATCATAAAGGGCACCTGCACAGTTGTGGGTTTTGTTTTCTTTTAAGGTAGAGAAAAATGATTTTAGTCTATTCTCAGGTAATACTAACACTCAAATCAAGAAATACTGCATTAGCACATGCGGCGTTGCAACTGGAGACAAACGTAATTTGGGACACATTTTTAAACTCTAAGAATTATCCAGAGATTTTAATTTGTTTGTTTCTTTGATTTATTTACTCTGAGATCTGCATACTGTAGCTTAGACAGCACATCTTTATGTGCAGAATAATATCCCAAGGGTATGGGAGGGAGAGTGCTCAGAAAGGCTCTTATATCAAAGGAAAAGGGCATAAAAAAGAGAAATTAGTCTCATTAATGTATAGCAAAGAGGTGATAAAATTAATGATGATTCAGAAATTGCTGAGGTGAAGTCTGAAGTTTCTTCCTTCAGGCATTTTAGAGTTGTGAATGTACAAACATTTTGTGTAGAACAGATGGAAGAAATGAAGCTTTTATTTCTACTTGCATAACTCAAAAACTGATGAGTTTATAGCAAAATAAAAAAAAAAAAAAAGGAAAAAGGAAATAGGAAAAAGGAAAGGAACAAAGCAAGTATGGCTGGGACCAAGCATGAAACGTTTACATTTACAATAAATAATTTGTTTTATTTTGTTAGAAAGTTTTAGAAGTTGGGAAGGGGAATCTGAATGAGAAGCAGATTGCCACCTTCACAGATAACTAACTACACATGGGCACAGATATAAGGTATTTGGTGCATGCAAGTTCCTCAATTTAAGCTTAAGAAGAATGATTTATTCTGTCCTTATGCTTAAATTAGCTGCAGTTTCAAGTACATAATGTACATATGCTGTATGTATGCTGTAATACTGTGATGGTGCTTTTTAAAGTGTATACTGCTGTTTATTCTGTTCACTGTATTGTTGACAGGTATGCAGACTGCTGACTGTTACTGAAAGCTGACAAAATAACTGGACTTCTACTGGAAAGAAGTAATTAATTCTTTCCCCAAGCAGAGATTGTTGTTAACTATTCCAGAACGGTAACTGTTAAAAGCATCCACTCTCAGAGATACTCTAATGAAGACAGAAGGTTTATATAGGCTTGGCTAGTCCCCATGGTAACAGCCTTTCTACTGGGTTACCATAGGAATCGTCAAAGCCTTTGTAAGCTGCCCTTAATAGAGCATACACGCTTTCCAGGCAGACTGGAATATCTGTTAGAGGATACACCTCCTGTTGTTAAATATAAATATAAACAGATTTTGTTTTGGAGTGGTACTCATCTCTGTTTAAATAGCTGTGCTACTCTTTACGTTAGAGTTATATTAAACATTGGAGTCACCTGTGATACAGGAAAACATGTGATAACTGAATGGTTTTACGAACAAGACAACCCATATACGTTTGTACCTAGACTGCAGGGAACTGCAGGCAAAAATACCGTTCTATACAGTAGCCCAAACCTCACAGTACATTGCCCTTTCACCTTCCTGTGGACGTTGCAGAGCTGTAGTCAGTCTGAAGCTTTGCTGGACAGAAGTTATACAACAGGAAACAAACAAGCAAGAAACGGAGCCAAAGGAAACAAACAGAAACCTCAGCTGAATGAAACAAGCAGAAAGCAAGCCAGTGACTGACTTCAGCACTGTAAGTCTTTTAAGACAGTTATTGTTTTGAACTTCTAAATAATGTTTCTTGAAACTATTACCTGGGCACGGTTGTAGTAGTTTCTTTTTCAACTAGTCAGGAATTGCAGTTTTACATCCTTCATCCTGGTCTTTGTAAGAACAGGGAAATACAGTGGAGAACTGCAGGTTGTGAGGGAACCATGCACCTACTTGCTGGGCTTGTCACCACGGGCTTCATTTTATTCAGAAGACCTTTACAAATAAAAAATTTTCATGTAATTTTTGGTTCTGTTTAAGCTCCTAGGATTAGCACTGTGTTCTCCATACAGAGGAATGTCATTAATAAGATGACTTATTACGGAAATCCAGCCAACATCTTTAGGGCTTGTTATTTTTCCAAACAAATGCTAGCTACAAGGCTTTCTACTGTAAAGCTGACAGCATGATAATGCTTTTATATTCTACTTTCCAGTTGGCTAAATTTCATTATACAGTTTGGTCTTATAAATCAGTGAAGCTGAATTGAAGGAGATGGTCTTACAGGATGACACTAGCAGACAATTTGGCCCTTGAGTTCCAGTTACCAAGATACCAGCTCCTACATATGTAAAGATCTCTACAAAAAGCAGTGGGGCTACTTATATGCTTTGGTTTGGCATGTGCTTCCTTGTCTTTCCAGAGCAAAAATTCTGACTGGAGAAAACATGGGTTTGGGAATTACCTGAAAATGTGTTTATTTTAAAATGGATAATTGGAACTGCAGACGTGAAAATTGCCATATATTGTGGTAATCTTACACAGAGGGTATGACAAGACATACATCATACATTGTTCTTTTCCAGAGCTGGTAGAAAGGCAATTTATTTTTCCCAGGAAGATATTTGAATGAAGCCAGAAATGTCACTGATTTCACAAGTAACAGAGGTGCCATTATTAAAGGTGTTTTGGACACCCTAGGCCAAAGATGATCTCTCTAGTTACCCAAAAGCAGGCAGTGAAATATTGAGGATAGCAGTCATCCAGAAGCAATTTGTTAGATCCAGGTCTATTTACAGAGGATGAGAAAAAATAGATTTGTAGAAGAGCTAATAAGGGTTTCTTCTGTGCATTGATAATTCAATAGCTGTTTTAACTGTCCTCTGCTAGTTATGAGTTGCTGTTGCATCAAAGTTGATCCCATATTTTTGGAGCAGCAAGAGAGGCAGGATCATGTAGGGTAGGGTGTAATAGTATGAGTGCTCTCCAATGTGCTCTCCCACTAAAAATGTGGAATGCTTACTATTTTTGGAGGTCTGACTTCACTAGCTGTGCATTGTCTTGCCAGAGCGAATAGTTGCAGGACTACCTGAAATAAAGGTCTAAAAATAAAGCCATGACTGATTAATTGTATGGTTTGATTAGTTATGTGTCCACCAAATGGAACAGTGCAGCTTTAATTCAGGCTTTTTATTCTTTGACCACAAGAACAAAACATACGATGTGGCACAGATAACATTCCTTAACTTACTATAATTATACAGCCTCTAAAAGGCCCTGTAAAAAAGGCTTTCTGTACAAGCGCACTCAGGAGGTAAACTGCTCCTATTTGCCCCGCTCTTTGCCACTGGGAAGTCCCTACAGGCTTAACACTGCAACAATGATCACTGCAGCTTTTTGGAGGTGGGAAATCCACCTGTTTTGTGACTCATGTTTTGGGATTGTGTGTCTGCAGTTTTTCACATGTGCGTCAGGTTGTGAAGAAGCCGTTGCACTCACTGGGCCCTACCAGTGGAGTGGCCAAAATGTTTTGTATGGTTTTGTGTTTGCGTAAGAAATCACTCACAATCAAATTGTATTCTTGCACAAATCATGGCACTTGAACAACTTGCCTGGCCTGCAGGGCATGCACTGCACCTGCTCCATTACTGAAGTACTAAAATGGGTAGAGTTAGGGTGAACATATTGGGTAATTTTACCATAACGGGACCTCATTCTAAACTTTATGTGTAGACTATCTGCTGACAGATGCACCACCTCTCTCAGGGCAAGAAACTGGGCATAGCATTTCTGTTCTGGAGGAACAGCTCTTTTCCAAAGGGTAATGTGGCATACCTGGGTTGGAAGGAGGCAATGAGCAGGTGCCAACACAGGGACAGTACTGTTCTGCTGCCTGTGTTGTGTGCTGTTGTCAGTAGCTGATTCCTTCTGTTTTCACCACGTGGTTCTTCACATGCCATGTGAGATGTATGGACTGGTAGGATTCCATGTTTCTTCCCCGCTCCCCACCACCTCTCTTTTGCTTTGGCACTACTGTGAACTTATGGCCCTGTGCTGGCACCTCCTGTCCTCATTGTGACCTGACAGCATTGTCCAGCTGGCCCCAGCATCTACTGGACTGCAGAGGCACTGAGTAGCCTCATGTGTTACAGCACTAGAGGAACTTACTCCCTTTGCTTCTGTACCTGCACACATCCCTTCAGACTGATATAGCAGTGCCTTTTTGCCATCTTAAAGCCTTTGTATTCTGCTGGTGTTGGCTGGATAAGTCAGGCCTGAGCTGGTTTAATGTTCATGGGTACTTTTTAACTTGAGGGAGAATATGTCTTAAACAAAGAAAAACAAAAACCAGCTGAACATGATTATCTCCCTGTTTGGAAAAGCCTGGGTAACCATCCCTAGGGTAACAAGGAAAAGAGGTCGCTGAAGAAATACTGCAACCTACAGCATGAATGGGAGGAGGGCTGAGGTATCTGAAGTGTACGTAGGAGCTGTTGATGAGGAAAACTGAAGGCTTTTTAAAGGAAAGAGGAATTGTGTTAATGAATTCTGCCTGCTGCATCATACCTTTCTGAAAAAACTAAAACACTGCCGCAGGAAAAGGAGGGGATACCAGCAGTTGCAACTTGCATGTGTAGGGGAAGTGATTAGCATTAGATGCAATTAAAGAAACTAAATAGTGTTTTTCTTATTGGAAGTGAAGCATTAATGACAGGAATGAAGTGGAAAAGCAGGGAAGTAGCTTGTTTGTAGGTTTAAAGACTCAACAGATTTAACATGGGGAGGGCGAAGACTGTCAAGAAAGAAGCACAGAACTGAGGGTTGAAGTGAAGGGAGGTCTAAGGTCTTTTTAGTTCATTCAGCTTTGTTTTTCTAAGATATTTCAGCAGCTGAACAGCCTTGAGTGCAAATGTGCATAAGTTTCTGATTTTTGTGGAAGTTTTCATGTGAATACACTCACTCATACACTTGATTGGGATGCATGCTTGAAAGTTAATGCCTATTAACTCAGTTCCTTCACTCAGTTAATGCCTATTTATTAAAGTATTAAGAAATTACATGTATAAAATATGAAGAAAGTAAAATGGATGTATGTGGTATGAGAGAAAGGGCAGCTAAGCTGTAGGCCGAGCTCCAGTGTAAAGAGGCAGAGTACTGCAGTGCCAAAGGAGCTGTTGAATGGAACTGTGCCAGGAAAGACAGTGGAGAATTCACCCTGTACTTACAAAGATGATCTTTCTTTCTGCCCACAGTTAGTCTGTTAACAGCTTTCAAGATCACAGTAGGCATGAGGAAGAAATAATTTCAAATGATCCCAGAAATGCTGAGTTGAAAGCAAGGCAGTGAATGTTTATGAGAAACATTTATGAAAATACTAACTTCTGGCAATGTAGGCATCCCTTTGAAGCTGAATAGGAGGGGTAGGGTTTAAAATCATAAGAAACCCCTTAAAAATTCATGCTGAGATACAGCTTAATGGGAGCAGCACTGAAAAATATTCCTGAGAGTATTGGTTGCATCCTTGTTTCACATGTATAGGGTAAAATTAAAAAGCTGCTTAGTAGGAATGATAAAGAAGATATCATCTGAAAAATGTGCCTGCTCAAATCTGTCAGCACTTATTTATTTTATTATTAGTTGGTCAAATAATGAAGCCCTAGTGAAATAGTTTATTTTTTTCTTTTTTTTTCCCCCCCTATTCTGGAATCATTAACTGAACAAGGAAAAATAAAATCAGAAATAACAACTTAAGGAAAAGAGTCTGCAGTCCAGGCACTAAATATGTGTGGACTGTATATATTTGTTGTCTATGGTGTGTATGATTTCTTTTCCAGAGGAGGAAAATATTACTAAGAGCTAGAGAAGTTTCTGACATTGTCATTTCAACCTCTTTATTTTAACTCCCTCTCCCAAGTTTATAAATGTTGTTTTTTCTTCATTTTTCTATCCTAATACTGACATGTAGTGTTGGCATTGCAGAATAGGGGTTTAAGAGACAATGTTAGACAAAACAAGAACACTTTAGGTTATCCATTGTGAAGACAATACAAAGAAGTTAAGACTGTTTAGCTCTCATATTTTGAAAAAGAGAAAGAAAAGGCCTTGCTCTTTTGAAAGACTTTGTAACTTTTCATGTACATAAGCACATAATTTTCCAGATGCGTGCTTTTTTGCCCTCAGCAGAACTGCTACATGTCTGACTGTATGAGTCTGAGGATAGGCAGCAAAACCCCACCAAAGGTTATGTCTTGTAGAAATCACTTTGTGTTATAACTTGTTACATGTTGTAAAAGATTTTCTGTGAAGACTTATTTTTCTAACAGATTTAAGTTAAGCTTTTAATTTGAACTTTTTAGAGTTCTTGTGCATTCCAATATATCTTATTTTCTTGATACTTCATAACCTGTAACATCATTTGTGAGCATGCCCTCCATACTCCTGCTGCAAAGAGTTCTATTGAGATTCCCACCAGCAAGGAAGCTTTTAAAACTGATTTTTAGTTCTAATAGCTGGTGTTACTATATGTTGCAGTCTTGCACATTCTGAATGACTAACCCAAAAACTGAGTTAGAAGAATGGGAAATCAGAGATCATTTTAGTGTCTAAAATCAATTTTTTCCAACTTTTGTGATTGCAAATTATGCATGTGGGCCTTGAGATTGAAGTTATTGTCTTCCCCCTCCTGGACAAAGATCAATAAAGTCTATTTTAATTGGGGATTTTGCTATAAGAATGTGAGCAAATGGAGGAAAAAAGATCTAG